GAGACATGATGACCAGAGTGAGCTGCCTCTCCAGCGGCAGCCCCAGCCCCTCCTCTCCCCCCTTTTCTGAGACAAAACTTGCAGCCCTGGTCAACTGTGGGAGAGGCCAACCTGGTCCCTGGCCAGGGAAACCCCCCTCCCTCCTGCGAGGAGCAGGGTGGTGCTTCCTAGAGGCTGAGCCTCCAGTGATCTCCCCACAGGCTTGATCTGGGGCCTGGCACCTTTGCTGTCCATGGCCATGACTGTCCTGCCTCGTGACTGGACTCCCACTGTCCCTGCAGCTCACCCACGTTCCAGCCAGGCTCGAGGGTCTGCCGTGTCCTGTCTTTTTGCTACTGCTCTCGTCTCTGCTTGTCCTTTGGTCAATTCTACCCTTCTTTCAAGTTTGTATCCAGTATGACCTCTTTGGAACAGAGGAAGACTCCCCCCTCACCTTCTGTCAATCTATTTACCTACTTAGTACTCCTGGGAGAGGTGTCTCCTCCCTGAACCCCTGTGGCAGCAGACATGAGACGTGACACCTTGCACAGCCCATGTATTTGATCTTTGGTGTAGTTAGACTTGTGGGCCCTTGGGAGTCCCAATCAGTGTGTGAAAGAGTCTGGTCCCCCGACTTGTGCCTCATCCCCTCCCCCACATCCGGTGCCAGGACCCCACCCTGCAGGCCACCCTTTTTCTCTTCCCTACTCTGCTTCCAGCCCAGGGCATGGAAGCACTGATAAGTCATATGGATTTCATGAACGGTTTTCTAGAGAGAGCGGGCACGCCACACCGCACATCCTAAAAATATCCTTTATGCGACGGTGCTCTTCTGGCAAGTTCCACTCCCTGTGGGGCTGCTGCACCCTTGGTCCCTCCCTGCCAAGTTTCCTCTGGTGCTCTTCCAATCTGGATTAAAGTCCAGGCTCTGCACTCTCCACTCAACAGAACAATCCCTCTGCAGAGGATTGCAAACTCCATCGCCCAGGCTACTTCACTGCCAGGTGTCAGATCACTGGTCCAACAAATCCAAGTGGCCCAGAGCGGGGCTCATTGGCTGTGCAGTGTAGCTATGACTCAATGTGGAAGACCTAC